TTAAATAAAATACTTATCACCTTTTACACTATGGAAGTTTTTTCTCTCACCCTGTGGGGTGTGAGATATTTGTAACAGAAAACCTTCCTGTGAAGCCTGTTTTTCATGTGGAGATGAACCACAAGTCCCAGTATCACCTGCCACAGTTGGAGTAGGATCCAGGGAGATCCTGAAAGTGAAGTGGCCCGTTGGGTCGCAGAAGGGAGGTGAGGAGGCAATCTAGCCATTTGAGGATCCGAGTGTGCTGACACATTCACAGCCACCTTCATCACAATATGTTTCATGGTTTTTGAAGCACAAAGTTTATGGACATTGTCCTGGATTTATGTTCTGTTTGATCCCGTTGGTTCACTATATCACTCAGTACCCTAATTAGGGGTTCTTCTGATCCATCATATAGCTGTCACATGATTTTTAGTTGTTGCATTATTCACAGTATGTAGAGCACTAAGTTGTGGCATTTATCACTGTATATAGAGCACTAAGATTTGGTCACGAGGTATTTTATAGCATTTATATATTTTTTGTGGCACGGTATATACTGTGTATATTTATTGGTTGGGGGGTTTGTGGGGGGATTAGAGCGCTGCACTATAGTTGTTTTTGTATTATTGATGACTGTTTAAGGTATCAGTGAGTGTCAGCCGCTGTATTGTGCAGGTCACTTCCATTAGCAGGAGGATTGTTTATCATTGCTATATAAGTACCTGAAATACACAAATACAATAAATCAGGACCCCGCACACCTGTATACACAGGACAGGCTGCATCATCTGGTAAAATCCGGACATTGAAAGTTCTGATCTAGAACAACAGAATCCAGGGAAAACCGAGCTTTCTCTGTTTGGAAATGATCATCCAGAATCTCACATTAACCCTCAAGGTGAATCCTGTGTCATATCCTCCTCCATCTTCACAGTGACAGGGTCTTGCTGTGTCATAGTTTATATATAGCAATGGGGGGAGGGTAGAGAACAGAAGGCAGGCTTATGGAATGTACAACATATTGTATAACATTCAACAGTCAGGACTATATAGTATCAGTATAATATACAGTGCAGGGGTCAGTAGTATGTAATGTACAACATAGAGTATATAGTGCAGGGGTCAGGAGTATGTAATGTACAACATAGAGTATATAGTGCAGGGGTCAGGAGTATGTAATGTACAACATAGAGTATATAGTGCAGGGGTCAGGAGTATATGTAATGTACAACATAGAGTATATAGTGCAGGGGTCAGGAGTATGTAATGTACAACATAGTATATAGTGCAGGGGGCAGGAGTATGTAATGTACAACAGAGTATATAGTGCAGGGGTCAGGAGTATGTAATGTACAACATAGATATATATAGTGCAGGGGTCAGGAGTATGTAATGTACAACATAGAGTATATAGTGCAGGGGTCAGGAGTATGTAATGTACAACATAGAATATATAGTGCAGGGGTCAGGAGTATGTAATGTACAACATAGAGTATATAGTGCAGGGGTCAGGAGTATGTAATGTACAACATAGAGTATATAGTGCAGGGGTCAGGAGTATGTAATGTACAACATAGAGTATATAGTGCAGGGGTCAGGAATATGTAATGTACAAAACAGGGTATATAGCATAAAGGTCAGGAATCATATTTGTATTCAGTGATCAGTGGAAGCTTAAATGTTTACTGTAGACAAGTTGCAGAGATCCCACACCGCTGCCTCCCATCTCCTGAGACTGCACTCAGTGACTTGGGTCTGAGACTATACAGACATATCCCTCCACCCGGCACAGCCAGCAGACAACAGAGCAAGGAACCCTGGGAGAATTGTTCTGTCAGAGATCTTACTAGACCCGGGCATGGGGTGGACAAAGATACAAGACTCACACCCCAGGTGCCTAGGTGTAGTAACGTCTATGGTGAAAATCAACATTTTGCTGCCAGCTGAACCCCAGAACCTCCATAAATCCAGTCTAGATACATAAATTGTGTCTGCAGCACAGAGAAGAAGATTATCCGAGAGAAATCCAGGAATACAGGACGGGGAACACAGCTCAGGAAAGTGACCAGGGGATTACAGGCTGATATCACCCAGTCCCCGCCCTACTCTGGACCAATCAGTGAGCAGTATGGGTGGAGGAATGGATTTAGTGTTCATGACCCACCTGTGCTGATCTCTGTAGGAGTGTCCTCCTCTATAAATGTCCCCGTTATTCCATCCTCCTCCATAGACTGCTGATCATCCCTCACATACGCCTCTTCTTCTTCTGCTTTCACCTCAAATTCTATATCGATTGGATCTCCACTCTAAATCAAGGAAATGAGAGAAAATATCATCTGTAAAATATAAGGTCACAAAAAACATCCACACATTGTCTCTATGAGTCCATGTTCTAGATTCTCCATCCCACCAACCTTGTAATAGTGAGGGATGGTGTGACCTTCCTGTGTGGAATCCCGGGAATACAGAGGACGGGGACATCTCTCTGGTGGGTTCCTGTAGCTGGATGACTCCACCATGGGGTCCTGGTACAGATCTTTGTGTTCTTTTAGAAGCTCTGACTCCTCCATCACCCCATCCTCATCCTCCTCCTTTTTATCTCTCTTCTTTAACCTCAACTTTAGGATCTCTCAGGTTTCCACTCTGAAATATATAATAAAAATGACATCAATGGTAACAATGCAGATAATGTACAGATCCTAATGATACTATCAGTGATTGTTCCTCATCTACCTGATGATGGTGAGGGATGGTGTGACCTTCCTGTGTGGAATCCCGGGAATACAGAGGACGGGGACATCTCTCTGGTGGGTTCCCATGACTGGATCCATCTGTAGGAAACACACACACTGACTGAATCCATTGTTTCTATGTGTTTATCAGATGATGGGGGATCTAGGTGGATCCTCCGTACTCTGCTCTCTCCTTTACAATAAAGTCTCCTCTTACCCGGTGATGTGAGGGGCGGCTGATTGTCCATCATGACGTCCTTGTAGAGATCCTTGTGTCCTTCTAAATACTCCCACTCCTCCATGGAGAAATAGACAGTGACACCCTGACACCTTATAGGAACCTGACACACACAATGATACAGTCACCATCCAGACACATCCCTTGTCTGTTACTGGAGAATGTCCCAGAATTCCCGGCACCGCTCACCTCTCCTGTCAGCAGCTCAGTGATCTCTCTGGTGACTTCTAGAATCTTCTTTTCTTTCTCTCTTCTATCAGGGAGGGAGGTGGAGGCAATGTGATGTCATATGATCTCCAGACTTCACAGGAGGAAAACTCTACATCTGAACACAAATAGTCACATCAAATGATATTCCCAGAATCCTCCTCACCTCTCCATTCAGGTCTCCATTTTATTAAAGCCCCACTTCAGGCTGAGGTATAATTTCCCCCCACAGGACCCCACACTACGCAGGGTATAGGCTTGTTGCAGCATTCTGATGTCATTACATACAACGCAGGACCAACAGTCCCACTTTACATGTGAGGATACCAAGGGCCCCCACATCCTAAGAGCATCAGAAAAATCAATCAGATGGAGGGGACATGGATGGGGGAGGAGCTGTGAGGTCAGTGTGATGTCATAGGATTCTCTGACTCTGGATGGAGGGACATTGGGGGGGAGGGAGCTGTGATGTCATAGGGTCAGTGTGAGGATGATGTCATAGGACATATAGACTCTGGATGGAGGGACATTTGGATGGGGAGATTTGAGGGGTCCTCTATATGGGGCTCCTGTATAAACCAAATCCTTGTTCCTGGGCGTGCGTCCTACCTCTCCTAAACTGAAGAGTGAACTTTGACCTTTACCATCCAGAAATCTGTCCGGAATCTGTGGAAGTAAGCTGTCATGTGATCAGGTGACGTGCGGAGGAACGGAGTGTAAATAGCAGACAATTGTCTCCAGAGCCCCTAATGGTGGGGATGGATTTTGGCGGCGTGCTGGTGCCAAGTTTCCTCCCCCCAGGGTCACTGCAGGTGTGGAGAAAAGCTGTGTAAGAGGATATGGAGGAGAGATGAGGAGGAGATCCAGGAATCAGGAGAAAGGTCAGGGCAAGCAACAGACGAGCGCATCCAAGAGACCAAGCCGGGGTCACTACACAGAAAATCAATCCAAGGAAACAACAGGCAGGACGAGGAATAGCAAGAAGGAGCTGAGAGACAAATGAGAATATTGCTCAGCCAATGGGAGATGATCTCAGCATGACTTCCATCATGAAGGAGATGAGGGGGAGGGGAGGAAGTCACTGAAGGTGACCATAGATCCATGGAAATTCAGCTGGTTCAGCAGGGATCGCTCACATTTCCATCCATGTGTGGCCACTGCCGGATAAAAGCCACTCCCCCAGCGGCTGCAGCCAATAGCTTCAGTGCTGATCTGTGTATTCTGAGAGCGGAGGAGTCCCCCCATTGTCAGAATACAAGAGTGCAGCGGGGAGGATTCCCCATCCACCTCCAATGTGTGGATGGGGGAATCGCTTCATTTTTTTTTTTCACTCATCCCGCTGGCTGAACGATAAAACTGAACCATGTAGGCCAGCTTTGGGGGCAAATATATTATCATCAACTCCTCCCCCTTGTTGTCATACAGATTACACGCATGAGGAGTGATAATTAGAATTATTGTTGCTGACCAAGACTTCGCTAGCCGATATACAAGAAATGAATGTTTCAGCAAATAAGTTCAACGGTTCCTTTCCAGGGAGAAGTATTTATTCGGATAAAGATACTTGCAACAGGCGACAAAGTCCAGCGAAATATTTGAGAATATTACAGTGACAACAGTCCTCAGAGTCCCATTTATGATCCTTCATATGGAGCAGAGATAGTACACTGTCCAGCATGTATAACCAATCTATGATATGCACCGAGGTAGGTTTCATGCGTGCAATCATGCCAGGTATGATCCATACATGTGCACCCATGAGGATGGGGTGTGTGTAAGCACTCAGACAATCTTTTCCTGATATCTTGATTCTATCCCCATGGAAATACAGCTGATTGGTGGTCAAACACTTTCATCTTAACATGAATAGACCCGAATTGCATTCTGAAAGTAACAATTAAGACTGACAATTGAGCTCCAGTGTCTACAGCACGGCTGTCTAGTTCCATGGATGAATTCCAGAACACGCCCTCTGCAGCACCCAGGGGCAAGCACCTGGCGCCGCTGGTGATCACTGTGTCCTACGGACAGCGGGCTTTTACCATGTGATCAGCTGTGTCCAATGGCACAGCAGATCACCGGGTAAATACAGTTGCCGGTTACCCTCCAGCGCGACCCTGGCGATCTCCGTGATCACTGTATCCTACGGACACAGCTGATCACGTGATGTGGTAAAAGGCCAATCACAGCGGCCTTTTACCATGTGATCAGCCATGTCCAATGACACAGCAGATCACCGGGTAAATACAGTTGCCGGTTACCCTCCAGCCAGGGGTGGACTGACCATTTGGAAACTCGGGCACTGCCTGAGGGCCCGGGGTCAGTAGGGGGCCCCATGAGATGCCCCTGGTACCTTTTTCATAGGCTTTTTGAGTTTGGGCAAGGACGCAGGGGCCCCATGATACCCTATTGCTCGGGGGCCCCATGAGTTGTCAGTCCACCCCTGCCTCCAGCGTGACCCTTGCAATCTCCGTGATCACTGTATCCTACGGACACAGCTGATCACGTGATGTGGTAAAAGGCCAATCACAGCGGTCTTTTACCATGTGATCAGCCATGTCCAATGACACAGCAGATCACCGGGTAAATACAGTTGCCGGTTATCAGCTGCACTTTCCACCCACTGTCACAGCATGGGGAAAGTACTGCCGAGAACCGGCAATTGCCAAAGAAGGGATCGGCACTGATCATCACGGCACTGACGATCAGTGCCCATCAGTGGTACCCACCTGTGCCCTGCAGTGCCACCCATCAGTGCTGCCCATCAGTGCTGCCCTTCAGTGCAGCATCATCAGTGCCGCCTATCAGTGCCCATCAGTGCTGCCTATCAGTGCTGCCTATCCGTGCCACCTCATCAGTGCCCATCAGTGCTGCCTCATCAAGACACATCAGTGAAAGAGAAAAATTACCTGTGCAAAATTTTATAATAGAAACAAAGGAAAACTCTTTTTTTTTTCAAATTTTTTTCTCTTTTTTTGTTTATAGCGCAAAAAAATAAAACACCCAGCTGTATGTAAATACCACCAAAGGAAAACTTTATTTGTGTGAAAAAATGATAAAAACGTCATCGGTACAGTGTTGCATGACTGAGTAATTGTTATTCAAAGTGTGACAGTGCTGAAAGCTGAAAATTGGCCGGGGCAAGAAGGGGGTAGAAGTGCCCGGTAGGCGAGGGGTTAATATTTAAATAGCATGTTTTTTACTTTCCTTTCTTTCCTTCAGTCTGCTGATTAATTGGAGGGTTAACTGGTCACAGGTGATACAGGTCCTATATAACTTTCTGTAGAGCTCACTCTGAGCGTGCTCATTCTTCAGCTTGCCTGTATTTTGCTTGCTGGACCTTTGACTAAGTGGACATTTGGTTAAGTGGAGTTAAAAAACCGGAGTGGAAAAAAGGAGTCTTCTAACCTGTAGTAATATTAATATTGTGACTGGGATATGAGTGCTAGCAGGGTGGAAGGGTTTGTGCCGTGCACAGTGTGCCGCATGTATGTGGAAGGGTTTGTGCCGTGCACAGTGTGGCGCATGTATGTGGAAGGGTTTGTGCCAGTGTGCACAGTGTGCCGCATGTATGTGGAAGGGTTTGTGCCGTGCACAGTGTGGCGCATGTATGTGGAAGGGTTTGTGCCGTGCACAGTGTGGCGCATGTATGTGGAAGGGTTTGTGCCGTGCAGTGTGGCGCAGGGTTTGTGCCGCATGTATGTGGAAGGGTTTGTGCCGTGCAGTGTGGCGCATGTATGTGGAAGGGTTTGTGCCGTGCACAGTGTGGCGCATGTATGTGGAAGGGTTTGTGCCGTGCACAGTGTGGCGCATGTATGTGGAAGGGTTTGTGCCGTGCAGTGTGGCGCATGGCGCATGTATGTGGAAGGGTTTGTGCCGTGCAGTGTGGCGCATGTATGGAACAATTGAGCAACAGCTCCAGGTGGCGCCGCTGTGACAGATGTGAGCTGGCATGATGAATCAGAAGGGTTTGTGCCGTGCACAGTGTGGCGCATGTATGTGGAAGGGTTTGTGCCGTGCACAGTGTGGCGCATGTACAAATGTGGAAGGGTTTGTGCCGTACAATGTTCTCAATGTATGTGGAAGGGTTTGTGCCGTGCACAGTGTTCCGCATGTATGTGGAATAACTAATAAAAGTTTGTGCCAAAGAATATTTAAATAGATAATTGTCAGCTAATCAATGTCTTTTCACTTTGGAAGGGTTTGTGCCGTGCAGTGTGACGTAGTATGTGGAAGCGTTGTGCCTCCACGTCATCACTCGGAGAGGAGCCGCACAACACGATGACGACAGGTGTATGACTCAGAGGCATGTAGTGTGCCAGGCAGAGGATTTCCAATGGGATTTGTGTTACAGTGTAAACCTGTATGTGGAAGGGTTTGTGCCTTGCACATGGTGGGAATAAAAATGTTTTGTGGTAAAGCACTTTGTCCTCTATTTCTTCCTGCATGCAGTGTAACACAATGTATGTGGAAATTGTGAGGCACAGTGTAACACATGTATGTGGAAGGGGTTAATGCAGTGCACCAGTGTACATCCATGTATCCTAAAGGAAGGATCTCCCAATTTTACCAGCAAAAGTATATGTCCAGCAGGTACCACATGAATGTGAAGGGTTTGTGCCTAATTGCACATGCATCAAAGGAGGTGAGCGCACATGTACCACATTTGATGGAGGGTTTGTCACAAAGTGTCACATGTAATGGAAGGGAACAACAAGCACAGTGTCACTATATATAAACAATTGTTTATTCAATGGACTATTATTTTGTGATATTTGGATTCATACTAATCACTACTAATTATTTATGAGCATTTGGTTATCTTATTTATGGGGGATCATTTAAATGCGTTTTAGTTGAGGGTTATTAGTTGGTTTATTATCTTTATTATATTAAATGAGGGGGTATGATGGGTAAATGAAATTGAGGGTAGTAGTAAGTACATCATGTCACTAATAGGAAGGCCCTTTTGAGCACTTGGCAAAATATTTTTTTTGAGGAGTATGTCATGTGGATTAGGGTGATATTTATTTGGTGAGATTGATTATTAACAGTTGAAACCATCTATGGTGGAAGGGTATGTTTTTGTATCTATACACTTTTATTAGTATTTGTATCATAATTTGAATTAATTTAATGGTAATAATTTAATTATTATTTATTGAGAAGTATTCCAGCGCAAATATATTTGCTAGATGTGAGCGGGTTGCCCTTCTGGAATCTTGCATTAGAGATCTGGAGGAACAAGTTGCAACCCTGGGCAGAACCAACAACCTTGAATGGAGTCTTCTGCTCTCTGAGCAGGTAGCTAATGGGATTGATGTGGAGGGCGGAGGGTCTAATCAGGATTATCAGGTAGGTAGATGGGTTACTGTAGCGAGAGGGAGTGGTAGGGGCTCACAGAAAAGGAAGGCTGGCCCTGGGTTTGAGCACCCAAACAGATTTCCAAGTTGGGTGAAGATGGGGTGGCAAGCTCAGAGGGTGGCAGCCCTGGATGTCACTGCTGTATGGGGAGTTTATGGGGAGGATCGAGGAGAATTTAAACTAGGATCGAGGGGGAAGGGAGAATAAGATTACAATGAGGTAGACAGATCAGACAGGGGTCAGTACTTATTGGTGGGTGGAATGGGGAAAGCTGGGGGGAGGGCAGAGAACTAGGTTTGAATTGGTATTGCTGAATCTTGGCTTCATTCCTCACATGACTGGGCCATTCATATTCCTGGCTAGGTTCTCTTCGGAGAGACGGAGGAAATAGGAAAGGTGGTGGTGTCTGTCTCTATGTGAGAAGTGATCTCAGAGCGAGTGTGAAAGAGGACCTAGTTAATGGAGAGTGTGATGAGGCTGAAGGATTATGGGTGGAACTGCACATGGGGGGCGGTACTACAAAGGTCATCATTGGAGTTTGTTATAGGCCTCCCAGTGTTAATGAGGAGGTGGAGACTCAGCTCCTCGCACAGATGGAAAGGGCTGCAAGGGTTGGGAAAGTGATGATAATAATGGGGGATTTTAACTACATGGAAATTAACTCAAATAATGGCACTGCAGGAACAGTCAAAGGGCAAAAAATTATAAACCTACTACAGGACAATTCTATGGTACATTTCATAGAGGCCCCAACTAGGAATGATGCTCTGCTGGACCTGGTCATCTCCAACCATGCAGAGCTTATAATGAATGTCCATATAAAAGAACATCTGGGTAGCAGTGACATGGTATACTTGGACAGAGGGGTGGCTGTGGATGTGGTATAACTTGGACAGAGGGGTGGCTGTGGACGTGGTATACTTGGACAGAGGGGTGGCTGTGGACGTGGTATACTTGGACAGAGGGGTGGCTGTGGTATACTTGGACAGAGGGGTGGTGGTGGATGTGGTATACTTGGACAGAGGGGTGGCTGTGGTATACTTGGACAGAGGGGTGGCTGTGGACGTGGTATACTTGGACAGAGGGGTGGCTGTGGTATAGTTGGACAGAGGGGTTGCTGTGGATGTGGTATACTTGGACAGAGGGGTGGTGGTGGATGTGGTAGACTTGGACAGTCATGTTGGAACAGGAAGGGGCCATCCCCAAACTCTTCCCACAAAGTTGGGGCATGAAATTGTCCAAAATGTCTTGGTATGCTGACAACTTAAGAGTTCCCTTCACTGGAACTAGGGGGCCAAGCCCAAACCCTGAAAGACAACCTCACACCATAATCCTCCCCTACCAAGCTTTACACTTGGCACAATGCAGTCAGGCAAGTACCGTTCTCCTGGCAACCACCAAACCCAGACAGGTCCATCAGATTGCCAGACAGAGAAGTGTGATTGGTCACTCCAGAGAACACATCTCCACTGCTCTAGAGTCCAGTGGCGGCGTGCTTTACACCACGGCATCCGCCGCTTTGCATTGCACTTGGTGATGTAAGGCTTGGATGCAGCTGCTCGGCCATGGAAACCCATTCCATGACCTCTCTACACACTGTTGTTGTGCTATTCTGAAGGCCACACCAAGTTTTTGGGTCTTTAGCTATTGACTCTGCAGACAGTTGGCGACTTCTGCACTTCAGCATGCACTGACCCCGCTCTGTCATTTTCCGTGGCCTACCACTTGGTGGCTGAGTTGCTGTTGTTCCCAGTTGCTTCCACATGCCTAGGGCTTGATTTTAGATGCCTGTGGCCATGGAGGTGACTGGAACACCCGAATCCAATGATGTGTATATATACACACACTATACAATACAGCTCAGTGGATTGCTGTAGGAAAGTCCTGGATCCTTTCTTGGATACACAGAATAACTGGATAGAACATTTATAGGTAAAGTTGATCCAGGGAATATCCGATTGCCTCTCGGGGGGGATCAGGAAGGAATTTTTTAACCCGGCTGTAGGGCCGACCCCTCATTGCCTGCAGTAGAGCAGTTACTCGGATCATTCAGTTTATAATTCCTCTAAACAGATGGGTAGATATATCAGCTTGGCATTAAAGCACATGGGAAAAAAAAATAAAAGTCAGCAGCTACAAAAACTGTAGCTGCTGTCTTTTAAAATACAGCCACTTACCTGTCCCTCGGTCCCGCGGTGTCTTCATCACGGCTGGTTTCACCGGCCATCTTCCCCAACCTGGTGCCGGCATCTTCAGTGTGGGGCACCCGACTGTGACAGCTTGCAGCTTCACAGCCAGGTGCCCACTGCGCATGCGTGAGAAGTGTGCGCTTTTTTGAATGGCACGGTGCATTACGGTGGCTTGTACCTTCATTTGAGTAAAAGACGGGTGCATTGTAGGAATTGGCATTCTTGCTTATTTTTAAAGTTGAGTTCACACATTTATACACTGAAGAGGGAGGTGCATTGTAGTACAGCACACTTACACAATCACTGTTTTT